AAGGGTTAGAGGACATAATTACTAAAGTTCGGGTTCATTGTTTGAGTTTGTCCCGTAATTAATATATAATAGTTTAATGCCTATAGGGTTATAAGACGTAATGGTGATTATATCATAAAAACTATGTACGGTTAACCTTGAACAACACAGGGTTGAACTGTGCGAATTGGCTTATATATGGGGGTGTTTTTGCTTTTTTTGTTTGTTTTTTTTTTCCTCAACCAAATGTGGATTCACAGGAATGCAAAACCTGTGTATAAAGAGGGCTGACTGTAGGACTTGAGTGTATGTGGATTTTGGTATATGCGGGGGTCCTGGAACCAGTCCCTCATGCATACTGAGGGGTGACTGTATGTTATTAGTAATAAAACTTAATTTCAGGTAAAGAGTGACATGCTTTAGCAACCATAGTCAGAACTTGTAGTACTTTATTTTCTGGGAAAGAGAAGTCTCCTCTTTGCCTTGCTGAATATACTCCTAAGGCTTTTTCTACTGGGCATGGTTGAACCTTTTTCTCCCTCTGCTTGGCAATCAGTGCTTCAGGCCCTTCCCTCTTTCTGTGCCATATGGAGGTTCAGCCCTTTTTTGGGTGCTCATTGTATGTTACATCCTCTTCCAGCTGCCCTACACTGGTTGTGTTGCTTGCTGGTTGCCTTAGGAATAGCAAGTACTCCAGGTTAGGCAGAAAGTCTGATTAGAAAGAGATGGTTGTGGGAACTAAGCAACCATACTTTCCCTAGCTCCTGAGAGATGGAGCAAGTGGCGATGGACCCCTTCTCCATGTGAACTGTTTAGGGAGTTTTAGTCCCAAACTCATAAAGGAGTTAATGTAGTTTTTCCTCTGTCCTTGTCCCCAAGCTAACTGATTTTGCTTGAAAGCAGTTACTCTAGAGCTAGAAACTCTGAGGGACAATAAAAAAGTTGTGACATTCTTTCTAGTATATACCAAATTCAGGATTTTTTTTCTTTTTTATATGAAATGCTTTTCACAACTTAATTGTGATTGTTGTATGGGTTCACAAAACTAGGGTCCTTTGGTGTCTGTCTTCAGAAAGTTTTTACTCCTTATACCCTTGTTAGTAATTGATATTTCTAGGGATACTATATCATCCCATTTAAAAGAAATGCAAACTGCTGCTTATAGAGTGAAATCACACATATCATGGGTGGATAGTTTACAGTGTGCTTATTGCTGCTTTGTTAGTGTTGAGAGTTCCTCAGTTGTATGGAATTCAACACTAATCTGCTGTTAAGTATGGAGCTGGGTATGTGGAACATTTGCAGGGAAGTTTGTTTCTCCGCTTGTTTTTCCAGGGGTATTCGAGATGACATTGAAGAGGAAGATGACCAAGTGAGTTCCTATGCAGTATTTCTATCTTTTATTTTTACCCCACAAAGTCTATACTGGGGACAAGCTAGAGCTTGCCTTCACTTGAAGTCGCCATTCCTGACATGGAGCAAAGCAATGTCATTTGATTTGCTCCTTTTCTACCTGTGTGACGGGTTGGTAATATATTCACATGGCTTTCCCCCATGTTGAAGATGGAACTTTTGATTAACTATGACATCAAAAACAAATATGAGCTTTATTCAGCTTCTTTTTAAATCCAAAATTAATGTTTACTCTGATAAATCAAGTGGTAGAGTAGTATGGGATCTATTGATGGCCTCTAGCAACATCTAACCTCTACTTCTTTGTAAGAGTTCTGTTTGTGATTCTTGTATTTCAAGATGGAACATTAATGACTGTCCGTTAGTATATTTTTTTTTCATTGTTCAGTTGTGGAGTGATGAGAACCCAGAGTGAGCAGTAATCCTTTCCAGGTTTGTGACCTTTCTAATCAGGGTCAGCTTCCCAACTTGGATTGGTAAAGCCACAGCATGTGTTCTACAGCTCTGGGGTGGGTAGGTAGACACTCCATCCCAGGAAGGTTATGGAACAGACAGATTTGCAAGTCTTCTGTTAAACAAGTTAAATCATTGTGTAGTCCTAACTGCCTAATTTATTTTTTCTGATGGTCCTTCCAAATACTGCTATTGTAAAAGGAATCATTGCTAGTAAAAGTCTTGTCTTACTTGGTAGGTATTTTAATTGTACAGTCATCTGGTACACTGTACACTAATTACAGTATCAGAAATAGGAGCAGTTGTACTTGGGTGTGATCATGTTCCTGTGCTTTCCTGCAGGAAGCTTATTTTCGATACATGGCAGAAAACCCAACTGCTGGTGTGGTTCAGGAGGAAGAGGAAGACAATCTGGAATATGATAGTGATGGAAATCCGATTGCACCTTCCAAAAAAATCATAGATCCTCTTCCTCCCATTGATCATTCAGAGGTATGGTGTTTCTTACAGAATTTGATTCTTGTTTCAAAGTGATACAGTTTTCTTCATCTTTAACATTTAGGTTTTCCCAGTGGCTGAGTACTCTTATGTCAAGAGCTTACTTGTGCTTTGAGATCTTGCCACCTCTGCTAAGTGCTTGAGTCACAAATTTCATGAGACTTTATGGCCTATCTTGTTGAAGGTTATAGCCACATTATTGGCTCATGTTTGATTTTAGAATTTTAAGAATTTTTTTCAAACAATCATACCTGTTTTCCAGAAGCAGCACCTACTATCTTCTTTCAAAATGGGCCCTTGGGCCTACATTTGTTGTTTTTTTGTTTTGTTTTGAGATGGGGGTCTCACTGTGTTTCCCAGGCTGGCCTCAAACTCTTAGGTTCAAGCCATCCTCCCACCTCAGCCTTCTGAGTAGCTGGGACTATAGTTGAGCACCACTGTGCCCGGCTTGCATTTGTTTTTTAATTGCTGTAAATCTTTACCATTGCTCCCAGATCTGGGGCAGATAAGAGGCTGTTTTTGAAAGTGGAGCCAGGAATTACAAGTTCCTTAAGTCGAGGAAAGCAAATGAGGATATCAGTATGCCCACTTGAACAAAAAAAAAATCAATGTTTCATCCAAGTTAAATATCTGAGACTAGATCTTGTGTACTCTAGTGATTCTAGATCTGGAGCAGTGCTTCTCAAAGTGTGGTCCTAGGGACCCCTAAAGGGATACTTTTGGGAAGCCTACAAAATCAGAAGAATTTTCATAATACTAACACTATTTTCCTTTCTCATTGTATCAGCATTTGCAGCAGTGATGTAAAAGCAGTAATAGGTAAAACTGCTAATGTCTTAACATGAATCAAGCCAGTGGCACCAAACTATACTAGTAGTCATTTTTTTCCCTGACAGACATTGCACTTTGGGGTGGGGAGGGGAAAACCAATTTCACTTAAGAATGCCCTTATGAAACAGTAAAGATTATCATTTAGTAAATCATGACCCTTGAGTTAATATGTCTTTTTATTTTATGTGACAGAATGGGAAGTACACATAAAGCATTTCTGTTGCATACCAAAATATGATAGTCATCTTAAGGAAAAGCCACTTACGTGTTTGAGTTGTAAGCAGAAGTAGCTGGCTTTTTGCATGGAACACAGTTGAAAGTGTTTATTGCCAATAATAGAAATTCAAGCTTTCAAGCAAAAATTAGAATTCAGAAAACTTAAGTCCACTACACAAAGCTTGACCACTTCTCAGTACTTAAAGACCATTGTGATAAAATCGATAGTGATGGTAA